GGTTCAAACCCACCAGCCACTCCTCGGAAGGAAGGTTGGGCAATCCTACTTCCGTAGTGATACTGCCTCGGAAACCCAAGGAGGGGTCGCTATGAGTCACGGCCTACTCGGCACATAACAACAACAACAACAACATTGTAAAAGGGTTCTTTAAAGTGTTAAAAAGTGTTACTTTGAGGACTAAGGTGCACCTGAGCCATTGTCTTCTCAATAGCCTCATGTGCATGTGAAAGCTGGACAGTGAATAAGGAAAACCAAAGAAGAATTGATACATCTGAAATGGTGCTAGTGAAGAATAGTGAATGTACCATAGACTGCCAGAAGAACAGGCAAATCTGTGCTGGAAGAATGAAGCCAGAGTGCTCCTTAGAAGCAAGACTTTGTCTCAGGTACTTTGGACATGTTCTTAGGAAGGACCAGTCCCTGAAGAAGGACATCATGTTTGATAAGGCAGAGGATTTGTGGAAAAGAGGCACACTTTCAAGGAGATGGATCAACACCTTGGTTGCAACAATGGATGCAAACATAGCAACAATTGTGATAATGGTGCAGAACCAGGCAGTGTTTCATTCTTTTGTATGTAGAGTCACTACAAGTGGGAACCAACTCAATGACATCTACTCAGCAATATGAATCTCATCAGAATATGTAAAATGTATATATCTACTTATTCTAAATATATATAACCAATACTCTATCAAAAAACTGGAGGCTGTCTGCTAATAGAGGATAATTTTATTAAAAGGGTAGAAAGTATTTGATTTACTAATACTTTGCCCCATTTTGTATCAATTAGGATGTGAAGACCAGTCATACTTTAAAAATATTTATATCTGCATAGTCTAGAATAGAAAAACACAAAGTTCTGTAAAACTCATTTATACCATCGACAGCTATAACATTGGGATGTCTTGGTTATCACAGTGAATATTTCTCAACACATTCATGGGAATGTATGACAATATTGGTGGTACTAACTATGACACCTCTTTTTTTCAGATATCAGAACTACTGATCCACAAGCTCAATCAAAACTTGGTGCACTTTGAGCTGAAGCCCGGGGTCCAAATCCTTGTCCACGCAGCTCACTTAACAGCAGGTCAGTTTCCATGTGCCTGAGTTCTGGTTCATGTTTCTGGCAAAGAGATACACAAATTTCTGTTTCCTTTCACGTCAACAAGGCTAGATAGTGCCAGTGCGAATCAGAAATCAGGCATCACTTCCTGGAGGTCCTCTTGCTTGTCTGTTGTTGTTGTTGTTATGTGCCGTCGAGTCGGCCCCGACTCATAGCAACCCCTCCTTGGGTTTCCGAGGCAGTATCACTACGGAAGTAGGATTGCCCAACCTTCCTTCTGAGGAGTGGCTGGTGGGTTTGAACAGCCAGCCTTCTGGTTAGCGGTCAAGTGCTTTTAGCCACTATGCTACCAGAGCTCCTTCTTGCTTGGCATCTCTCCCTAATTGAAGACCTACTTAGAAAACAGAAACGGGTGATTCTTTCCACTTAGTCCTTTACAGACACCATCATGAATTACCTAAATATATATTGTTCAGATAACCAAGTGATAGCTTGTTTCATTTCCACAGAAATCTTGAAAATGAAGTTAACTTTACTAAATATTTTTTTCTAGGTCTTTCTGCAAAGCCCTGTTTCCAAATCATTCATGTTACTAATTTGTTTTAAGTCTCAAGGTAGTGCAGTGGAAATAGAAGGGACTTAAGAGTTACACAGGAATCAAAGCTCAAGTTGCTCATAATCTTGCAAAATGTCTTAGTCTCATTGAGTGTCTGTCTCTTTGCCTATAAAACATGGGTAAGAATCCTCCTTCTATGGCTATATTGAGGTTTCATGATAGGGGTGGTAATCCCAAGCATATAAAAGTAGATATTGTCACATCAATAATGAATTCATTTAGCAATAAATATTTATCAGGTACTTAGATTTGCAGCATATGGTGCTAGGTGCTGCATGGAGTACAAAGGCCAGTGGGAAACAGTCTTTCTCATCAAAGAGTTTATAATGTAGTTGCAATGTGGGAAAGTTTACCAGTATCATAGTTGTGATAGTGCTGTGGAGAGAGATGAATGGTAAAGTAGTGAGGCTCAGTCAGTGATTAAAATGCATAAAAGTGTGTCTAGAGAGGCAACACGGTATTTAAGCCCTTGGAATTTTCAGCCAGGTCATTGATTTCAATGTTTGCTCCATCATTTACTCATATCATAAACCTGGAAAAGAGACTTGACTTCTGTGTATCTCAGTTTCCTCATCTGTAAAATAGAGAAGGCAGTCCAATCACTGTAAGTTGATTCTGACTCACATCAAGCCTATAAAGCAGTAGACCTGCCCCATGGGCTTTCCAAAGCTTTCCGGAAGCGGACTACCCCATCTTTTTCCCACTGAGTGGGTAGTAGATTCAAACCACTGACCTTTCAGTTACCAGCCAAACACTTAACCACTGTGCCAGGAGGGCTTCCGTGAGAGATGGCGGTAGCACCTATGCCAATATGGTTATCGGAGCAGGGACTGATTACTCAATAAGCAAGGTAAGCATGGACTTACTTGTTCTACTTACTAATCAGTAGTGAGCAATTTCACATGGGCTTCACCACCTGTGTTGTGCCAAGTTACCAACAATACAACAAAATGCAGGGCCAAGCAAAAGCATAATCTTAGACTGGGCTAATACGTAGAAAGTGAAAGAATGTTTTGACTTCAAAGCTTTGTGTCTGTTCAGGGTTCTTCCCTGTTAGATCTTATGGTAGAACATTTTATCAATGCAATTCTAAACTTGATCAACTGGCCTAGAAACTGGAGTAGATGGAGACTTTAATATGAACAATTGACAGCTATGTGAAGTGTGAAGGAAGAGAATATCAAGATCTAAGGACACGACAATGGAGACTTGGAAACTTGCTGTCCAGTAAGTCCTCGGTTACAAATGTCCGACAGCTTGTACTTGCTCTTTAATGTTACGTAAATTTACCCTCACTTTGAAATGATTAAAGGAGCTCTGATGGTGCAGTGACTAAAGCATTCAGCGACTAACCTAAAGATTTCTGGCTCAAACCCGCTAGCCACTCCACAGGAGAAAATTGAGGCAGTCTGCTCCATAAAGAGATACAGCCTTAGAAACCCTACAGGGCATTTCTCCTCTGTCCTACAGGGTAGCTATGAGCTGGAATCAACTCCATGGTACTGGGTTTGGATTTGAAATGATTGAACCAACCCCTACTTGCAACACATTCTTCATCACAGTCACCTTCAATTGCTGCACATACAGCTTTTAAATCATTGAAAGGGCTTCTAGCCTTTTCTTGCTCTAAAAAAAACTCACTGCCACGGAGTCGATTCGACTCATAGCGACACCTTCTTGGGTTTCCGAGGGGGTAGCTCTACAGAAGTAGATTGCCCAGTCTTCTTTCCAAGGAGTAGCTGGTGGGTTTGAATCACCAGCCTTCTGGTTAGCAGTCAAGTGCCTTAGGCACTACATGCACCTGTTCCAACTTGCTTACAAATTCAACTTAAAGACAGACTTAGGAACAGATCCTGTTCATAGCCTGGGGACTGCCTGTATTGACCTTGGCCATGTTTGTCATAATATACTAAGTACTGTCAGTGTCCACAAGGACAAAGTTACTGTGGGCCAGCCTTTCAGATACAAAAGACAAGGTGTGTGTCAGGACTGGTGGTCTCCAATGATTTTGATGAGGAAATAAAAAGTATGAGGGATAAGTTTTCTGTTGGAAATTGCTCCTATGTTAGCTTTATCTGTCTAATATGGGTTTTTAAAACTCATATGAACAGGGTGGAAAACTCTATGTCTATTAAAGACAGTGGAGGGAGTTCTCCTTTCACACCCAGAAAACTTGGCGCTTTGGGTAGTTGGAGTGAGACACTTGCCACCTTTGCTTTTACTAAGTTGATAGTAACACATTCATATACAGGTGTCCAGGAAGGGGACGAGAACACCTGGGAAAAAGAATAAACAGTGAGGAAGAGTAGTTGATGCACAACTTCTGCCTCAACTTCTTTTCCTCTCATCCCCCCTGCAGCCAGGATGGAAAAAAGAAAACGAAAAACAAAGAACCGTTGTGAAACATTTCATGTCTCATAAGCAGGATTGCTGATACCTTCCCAGGGACCATTACAGCACACTGCTGCATTCCATTAATTGCTCAGCAGATGTTCAGCAGCCTTCCTTTAAAAATGTTTGAGCCAGAATATGTTGCTGGTGAGAGAGGCAATGCATAATTTGGTTTGTCTCCAAGGAAAAAGAACTGCCTCCTTTCAGGAATTTACTAGTCCTATTTTGTTTTTCAAATTCCAGTCCCTGTTAGCTTTTATGAGATCACAAGGTAAGCATTTCTAGATACTTGGAAGTCATTAGAGACTGGATTTTGTGTGTTTCTCCCAACGTGTTCTATTTGAGAATTCATTAACTTTGGTATCCAAGCCGAGCTAAACTTTGAAAGCAGTCCTTGTTTTGTTCTCAGCCATTCCTGTGCTTCTTGGTTTCTGTATATTTCTTCTTGAGGACCTAACAGGTCTGGCAGCTATTATTTTGAAATTCTCATTGTGGAAAGAAGAGATGTTAGAGAATGAGAGGCATGTTATAACGAATGTTGAAGGTGGCTCCCTTTGGCCTTTAGGACCTGGCCTGGCCTCCAGGTGTAGCACACACACTCTGTGATGTTACAGAACAACTCAGAGTATAGGAAAAGGACAACGGCCATTGGACTGGAAGGACTGGTGTTTTGACCCAAGTGTGTCTTTGCTCATGCTGATGAGGCTCTTCCTCCTCCCTTCTCCACTTCTATCTCTTAAGCCAATTTGGGTTTTAAGGCTCAGCTCTTTGCCCAACATTTGTATGAAGTTTTCCAGAAATACTTATCTGGATAGCATCTTGCTGTTGTGTGAACTCATGGAGTTTTAAATCTTCATCTGCCTGATGACAATGACAATTATCATCATCTCTCCAATTTAACTTCTTGAGGGCAGGGTTAATCATATCTTTATATTGTCTCGACTGTTGCACCTAACAGAATTTGCATACATGGGATGCTCAGTAAAAGTTTACAGAGCAAATTGGTTTTTCATTCAACAATTCATCCACATTTTGTTTCATGATATTGACTGCAATCCCAGACATGGAACAGCACTCTTCTCACTTCCTCCCTGTGTTTCCTGTTTCCATTGATCCTTCTTTCTTATCCCTTTTGCTTTCTGAGCTTTTTTGCTGGGCAAATTCTGCCCTTTGATCTTCAATGGCTGATTGTTCTAAAGGGCGTATACCTCTCTGGTGTTAGAGTTCACCTTACATGCCTGTCTATTGTTTGGCTGAGTTTGAGCCATGAGAGTGAGTTCAGTTCCAGGCTTGAAGGATAACTAAGGGCCATGGTCTCGGGGGTTCCATCAGTCTCAGTCAGATCAATAAGCCATTTTTTTTTTAATGACTTTTAGTTTTATTCCACAATTTTTCTCCCACTCTATCCAGGACCTTCTGTTGTGATCCCTTTCAGAGTGGTTCACAGTGATCGCCAGGCACCATCTAGTTCTTGTGGTATCAGGGTCATGGAGGCTGAGGTTCACGTGGTCCATTAATCCTTTGGACTAATTTTTTTCCATACAACTTTCATTTCATTCATTTTTCTTTGTTTCAGATGAGAGAGACCAGTTTTTTCACCTTAGATCTCTGGTGTCAAGCTTTTAAGATCCCCCTTGGTACTCACCAAAGTAGAATGTAGAACATTGTGTTTGTGGAATATATTATGCCGGTTGACCTGGATGTCGCTCAAGACTATGGTCCTAAGCCCACAGGCCCAGAATCTTATTCCTTAGGTGTTTGTTTATGGCTACGAAGTTTTCATAACTTTGCCCCCTGTATGTTTTACTGTATTCATGGATATATTGTTGTTGTTGTTATGTGCCATCAAGTCGGCCCCGACTCATAGCGACCCCTCCTTGGGTTTCCGAGGCAGTATCACTACGGAAGTAGGATTGCCCAACCTTCCTTCCAAGGATTATAAATACATATGTAGAAACATCCTCTGTCAAGCCTGTACGTATATTTGTGGGTGTAGTCCCATTCACCTTCCTACACT